ATATGTAATAATTTATTAGAAAAAGTGGGAAAGTTTATTACATATTGGGTTCAGGATGTAAATGACAAAATGTGTCAGATTGCAACAAAATACGGGTGTTATTACATAATAAAGTGAAAATGTATTACATTTTGTTGAGTTATTACATAATAAAGTGAAAATGTATTACATTTTGTTGAGTTATTACATAATGCAGTGTCATAACAATGTGTTATTAAAACACTGTATAAAATCTGTAAAAATATAGGTCCTTCAAATTCTCTTAAAGATTATACAGTTAAAATACTGAGTACGTTTCTTCATAAGCTTACACATATGGTCATGAGCAGCAGTTGGCACTGATGATGTAATCTTTATAAACTTAAAATTCAGACTGACAGTCAAAACAGTGGACTTTCATTAGCGGAACAAGGTGGGCTGAAAAATGTGACTGTGACTGCATCTGGGATGAGAAAGGAACAGTGGTGGTGAAGTTTATCAATTCAGAAATGTCAAAAAGAAAGTCTTTCACAAGACTTGGAGGTGAAACAGTGAGTTAAAGGAGTGAGCAAGACAGAGTCACATATTGTGGGATAAAAACCAAAGAAATACTTGCAAAGCATAATCAGATTGCTGTGCACAATGCAGAAAACAAGAATTACGTTAAAGGAATAGTTCCAGTTCAGGGGTTGTAACACTCAAAAAGTGCTTCCATTGTTCTAACTCTCAGGAAGCGAATAATTGCATTTTCCAAAATGTCAAACTATTCCTTTAACAAATACAGTCAAACACTGTGATTGAACGCACTTCTCACGAATGATGTCACTGCTCTCAAGACTGAGATATTAATTTCAGACAAAATGAGCTATATATATGCCTTAATATTAAAATAGCAAGAATGTTTCTCATGCAATGTTGGGTGTAATTTACCAGGATGAAACTCTAATCTTTGCTTTCATTCATTATCTACTTTGGACTTGATGTTTCAATGATTGAATCACTATTACCACACAGTGAATGGTCATTATACTGTATGTAGTTGAGTAACAGGATTTTAGAGGCTGACAGCATTACAGTTAGAGGATTGATACAACTCTATTTCGACAGTTAGTTTAGCTTCACATTAAGACTGGAAACGGGGGGAACTGCTAGTCTGGCTCAATCTAAAGGTTATACGCTCACAAATTAACATGTTATATCTTGTTTGTTTAAAGAAACCCAGTAGAGAGCCAGGTTACTTGTCTTCACGCTAAGCTAAGCTAACCGTTTCCTGGCTTAGCTTCATAGTTAGCGTGCAGACATGAGAGTGGTATCAGAAACTAAGAAAGAAAATAAGCTTATTTCCCAAAATGTCTAACTTTTCCTTTAAATAATCAAGATTTGTTTTTGTCAGGCACTGACATCCTCTTAACGAACTACATATAGTACAATTACCATTCAGTGTATAGAAGATTATATGTCCCAATATCTACTCCTGCTGTAGAGATGAGTGTTAAACTGAGAGAAATTCGCAGATTGATTTCGACATCCCTTCCTTGTGTCTCTGAATCGTGTCCTACATGGCAAGACGGATTATTTATTTCCTAAAAATTCCCTCATAGTCAGGGTGGAACGTAGATGTTTTCAACATCTTCTTACGAGGAAGATCCTTCATCATTCACCAGTGGAAACCACGACCAGTATTGTTGTTGCCTTGTGGGGACATTTGGCCAGAAGCATGCAGCCAGGTCAGGAGCCTGAGGAGCTGGGGTTGAACCAAAGTGCAAA